AGCTGTATGACTGGATGCATCCAGGTAGCTTGTTTCTTGAGGCTGCTGCCTACGGATGTGGCTTTTCTGTTGTTTATCCAACAGGCATCCGATGCTGTTTCTGTGTGGTTATACTGTCGTTCCTGAGGATGATGGTACAACCAACCAAATGTTTTGGTGCATATGCTCTTCTAAACCTTAGTCTTTGAGGAAACCTTCTTTAAGAAATGCTTTGGGAGTGAGCTGCAGGTGCCTTCATGACACAAGGTCTCGGTTCTGCCAAAGACACTTTGTTGTGAATCGCTGTGTTGGAGCTGGAGCATGGGCTGGAGAGTGGAGCTGGGCTCACGTATATACTGCAAGTGAAGTTGTGCTGTGGTCTGATACTGCAGACAGAGCTCCATGTCGTGTAGCATGAATGAGGCCCAGGTCATGCCTCTTTGGAAAGCCATGAACACTGGTAGTGGTAAAAGAAAACAGCAAAGCTTGTGGACAGTCTATCTTTTGGGATACTAAATGCTCTAAAGGACAGTCCTCTAGCAAAAATAAGACACCACCAATCAAATCCGATGTGGGAAGTTAAAGAAGACCATATTTCATGTATTTACTAGTATTGACAACACTGAAGAGTCTATCTGTTTGTGCTTTAAGGGAACCAGAAATGCTCTCTCAAGGATCTGCACAGGTGTTTCTAATCCCCTGCCTTTTCCTACTCCATCTTTCTGTCACGTATCTCTCTCCCTTTCCACCTTAAGCCAGGTTTGCTTTGGAGACAGGTGACATGGCTCATTACCAGGGTAGCTTTAAGCCCTTCAAGGAAATAGAGGCCGTAATGGTCTTAGGACATCCTGCTGTCCAAGCAGGTCCCTACGAGCAACTCAAGGAAGAGGTTCTGGTCTGGGCCGACCTCTCTGGGATCCACTGCGTGATGCCAGGGTGGCTCTCAGGACTAAGGCTCTTTGTGGTGTACAACCCTAGTAATAACAGGAAATTATGCACTGAGCATATATTTGTGTCTGAGTGGACCAGACTTTCAGTATAAAATGTGGAGCCTGCTGAAAAGGTTCCTCCAGGTGTAATACTGGTGACAAAGTATGGGAGAAGGATATTTTGAATGTTAAAATGTGGGAGTTTCCAGTAGCTTAGCTGCTATGTGCTCAACAGAAATCTCTGCCTACTGCCTCACTCACAGAATGATTTGGGGGCATTTTTTTCTGCTCAATTGCAACTCAGTTATTCACTATACTCCTGAGGGGTTTTTGCTTATGAAACATAAACATGATTCCTACAATATTAATGGATTGTTTTTTTGATTTCCTGATTTGTATACACTTCACTCTCTCTCTGGGAAAACTTTTTTTTTTTTTTTTTTTTAGTGGCTATTATATCAGTTAGAAGGAGTAAAAAGATTGAAAGTATTAAAATGTATATGTCATGCACACAGAGGGGACAGGCACTTCTGATGATCCAAACCTGGAAGGAGTGGCTGATACACCAGAGGGCTGTGCTGCTGTTGAGAGGGACCTGGACAGGCTGGAGAGAGGGGCAGAGAGGAACCTCATGAGGTTCAGCCAAGGCAAGGGCAGGATCCTGCACCTGGGCTGGAATAACCCCATGAACCTGGGCAGGCTGGGGCTGACCTGCTGGAGAGCAGCTCTGCAGAGAAGGACCCAGGAGTCCTGGTGGACAGAAGTTGACTGTGAGCCAGCAGTTTGCCCTAGTGGCCAAGGAGGCCAGTGGTGTTTGGGGAGACGTCAGGAAGAGGATTGACAGCAGGTTGAGGAAGGTGATCTTCTCCTCCACACAGCCATCTGGAGTGCTGGGTCCAGTCCTGGGCTCCCCGGTGCAGAGAGACTTGAAGCTACCGGAGAGAGTCCAGCCAGCTTCACAGGGCTGTGAGGAGGATTACTGGGCTGAGCATCTCTCTCATGAGAAAAGGCTGAGAGGCCTGTTCAGCCAAGAGAGGAGAAGACTGGGAAGGGAGGGGATCATATCAAGGGGGTGTCAAGAGTGGTCTGTTCTCCATAGTGGCCTGTGGCAGGACAAGATGCAGTAGGCACAAAATGAAACACAGGAAGCTCCACTGAAATGAGGAAAAATCTTTTTTTCTGTGAGGGTGACAGAGCTCTGGGGCAGGTTGCCCAGAGAGGTTGTGAAGTCTCCTTCTCGGGAGATCTTCCAGACCTGCCTGGATGCTGCCCTGTGCTCTGGGTATCCCTGCTTGAGCAGGTTGGACTAGTTAATCTCCAGAGATACCTTCCAAATTCAGTCATTTATGTGAAAACTGTTGGGGATAAAGCTGTACTTTGGATTCATCTGAGTTTGGTTCCAAAGATGACTTCTGAGTTTTGCTAGGTTTAGGATATTATCCTTCCTGAGTCTGTCCTTCCTTACACCACACCAGTCCACAGCAAAAAGGTAACACACAGATAAGCTACATGTTCTGATTGTTAAACATTCTTTTTCTTTTTACTAAGGGGCCTTGAGGAGGACCCATCTCAGTTTCATCTTTGTCAGTACATAGTTTGTTCTCAGAGATGATCCTACACGACTGAAGTCAGGTCTGCAGATTGCTGACACGGGAAAGGTGAAACTGCTGGATGAGATCTGAGCACATTCAAGGAGGGCAGATGCCTCTGTATATACTTTCAGCTGGGAAGGCCAGTGTGCTAAGAGACATCCTTTCTGGATATGAAAACATATAGCAAAGTGTTGACATTGCTGTCAGTGTCAGCTCTACAAATTTGTGCTTCTGTATACTTCCCCAAGTATCCAGCCTAACCAGGCAATCAAATTCCTGCTGTAGTAACTGCTGTAGCTGATTTTAGAATGGAAGACTAAATTGGTTTTTTGAATTGTTTTTTGGAAACATCCTATGTCTGTATCTTTTTGAAAATCCTTAAAAAGTAGTTTCACCTTAAAAATATTTGGTTTGTGAAGCTGAAAGATATATGTGCTTACTCAGTGAGACGTCTTACTGAGAGTAGATAATACCAAGGCTCCAGTTTACGATTTCCACGGTGACCTGTAGATTTACAAATTTATATTCTCTCACACCCTTGGATTTTTCAGATGCAGGACACTGCTTTTGCTACACGTGTGGTAGCTCAGGCGCAACACAGGCCTTTCAGGCAGAGCTGGTGTCTCCAATAGGTGTCTGCCTCCCGAAAATACCTCTCAGCCGGAGTCCCCAGCACTACAGATGTGAGGCATGGGTACTGTTTGGGGAAAGCCATGCTCTACAATTCTAGTTTCTGATTTCCTTCAACCAGAGGGAAGAGGTTTCTATCACTTCAGACGGGGAGCCAGTGGAAGACTTTTTCCAGTTGTGTTCTTTGGATTGTGCTTTCTAGATACAACAGGGTTCTGAGGGCTTCCTTCTAGACTGGAGGGAAGGTCCATATCTGTTCCTCCTGCAGCATCAGAAACAAGCAGCATTGAGAATAGGGGACAGAAAAAAAGAAAAAGACAACACAACACTTGCAAGTCATAACTGAGGAGACATTTCTGATGTATAATGCAGGGTTAATTAAGCAATCCCAAGGAGAATGGAAAGAAGTATATATCAGTATATAACTGATATGATAAAAGAATTAATTTTCATTTTGCTGGGCTGTATGTTTTCATGGGTCTTTCTGCACAGGTGAAGGGAGTGGTGTGGAAGAGCAGAACTAATTAGGACTGTATTGGGGTGGAAGTATAGATGAAAGATAATGTGTTTTTAGGGAGCAGAATCTGTTGGGAACCTGCATTTGAGGGTGCTTTTTGGGGCCCACAGGAGTTAAAATAGGAATAAATAGGTAGAGCAAAATAAAAACCGAAAATCAGTCTGTCCTTAATTTTGCCTCACCTTCCAAAACTAGTTCCCGCTTCCAAGATTCTTGTCCTCTTTCCATCTTAAATGCAAAGGCAACTGCATAGGGGGGAGAAAAGCAAAGCCTTATCTCTTTTCCAAGCCAAAGAGCTAGTGCTTTGCAGAGCCTTTTACATTAAGTGGTGGTATGTAGGACTGGTAAGAGATAATTGTGTTCTTCCTTTCTATTAACTTTAGGAGTAGGGGGAGAGGAACAACAGAGGAGTTTGCTTATCTGCAAAGTTTTACTCCAAACTTTCCTAAGATTGCAAATTCACCCTTTCCCAACCGGAATTCCTATGCAAATTTGAATGCATTTTTTTATCAGAAAACTTAATGTTATCCAGTATAGGTTCTGTACATGTACACATTGACACATATGCCCTCTATGAGTAATTTTTTTGAGCTTTATAACTCAATGTCATTTAGTGTATTTTGATTTAGCTCTGTATTTATAAATATGATCAGGAGTCCCTCTTGCTATCTGAGAGACAAAAATTGTTACAGTTAGCTGATAGTTTAAATTTTGCAATGTAAAACAACTCATATAATTACCCACAGAGAAGTCTGAGATAATACTGTTCTTCTAAAATGAGACACAGAATCCCTATGTAAAATGAGAACAAGAGGATGAAAGCATTGCCGTTCCAGAGCAACACCAGGTGGTTTATGTTATACTTTGATAACATGAGTCTCTGAGGATACGAGCTCTGACTACTGGCCTTTTCAAATCCTAGTAGACTTTTCTTTGGCACAGCCTCCACACTGTTTTTTATGAACACAATGCACTTTTTCAACACACATTCTCACAAAACCTGCTTTACTGTAACCTACTTTGAAAAAACAAATTGTGGAAAGGAATATGAATTGCCAGCCCTCTCCAAAATCTGGAGGGCTCTGAGTCTTTGAGCTCAGGTAGGGCCATCCTGCCCAGACCCTCAGCACGTTCTTGCAGGGGAGCTGAAATTTCTATTTATCCCCCTCTTATTTCCATTATCCCTCTCTGCCTGAGCCCATTCGCAGCTGTCTTCATTATCCACAGTTCTGCACCGATGTAAAGCGAGGAAAGCCAATGTTTTCCCGTGTGCGTTAATTGGGAGCGTGTTTTGCTGCGGGAAGCGGCAGCAGGAGAAGCAGCGAGGGCAGTAACTGTTGCTGTTGTCCCCAGGAACGTCAGCTCGGCAGGAGAGGAGGCCCGCAGGAGGATGAGGGAGTGCGACGGCCTGACGGACGCATTGCTCTACGTCATCCAGTCTGCTCTGGGGAGCAGTGAAATTGACAGTAAGGTTTGTCACCTTTGTCCTTCCAGGAGGAAGACGGCCGGGTGCTCCGGGCTGCCTCGGGACTACTGAGCACCCGGCAGGAATGAGAACTAAAACCAGCGTGGGGGGGCGCTTAAAAGGCAAGGGGAGAGTGGAGTGGTTGCCTGTAAAAGCAGTGGCAATTAATAGACAGTTCTGCATTATTACTAACGTTACATCTTTTCTGAAGAAGATTGATTTTTTTTTAATAATAGCTGTCTTAAGTCAACATAAAAATATATCTTTAGGTCTATGAAAATGCTGGAATATGAACGTGCTTCTCCAAAGGTGAAAGGCACCACTTACATAAAATTGTTTCAAAGATTTACAAATTGAAGGTTTCCTAGATAATATGCATTAAAATATTTCCTAATATGCATTATGCATATTATGCATTAAAGTATTCCAGAAGACAAAAACGCTAGCTTCTGATATATTTTGCATTCAATATATGGCACTGAAGTGAGTAAACCTGTTGCTCCAGAACAACCTTTATCCATTTGCAATCCCCAAAGACTTTTATAGCAAGAGAGCAGCTTTCTTTCCACACAGCAAAATAGTAAAGCCTACTGGGCTGATATTTCTGAAGTAATTTTCACAAGTACTTGCTGGTCACCTATATGGATTTATAGAATGGAGAAGGAAAATCAGACTTCCATCAATAAAAGTTACTGAGAAGTGAAGGAGGGCCCTCCACGAGGAAGGCACTGCTCTCAAAAGAGCCTTCAGAGCCAACTCAGCTGGTGTCAGAAACCTCCCACCCTTTCCTGTCAGCTCCTGCAGAGCCTCTCAGGAAACATGGGGAAGTTTTTGCTTCATTAGTTGTTGGAAAAGGTGAATTGGGGATTATTGCAAAGTTCCCTGATTCAGTTTGTGGAATAGGAAGTAAAACTTAGAAGCCTTCATAGAAGCAGAGTGGGAGGAGGATTAAGAAGGGATGTCCACTTCTCACAGCTCAGCTGCTGTACTTGCAGCCCCAGCTTTGGAGGTGACTAGACCGACCTCAGGGTTTTTGTTTACTGTTCAAAAGGCTACATAAGGTGTATGGTAACATCTTGGTTTTGCCTTTTATCATCAATATAGACATTTATACAGTAATTTATACAGCATTTATACAGTAATTTGGAGCTGTTACAACTTGTAAAACTGTAGGCAAAGTCATATGGAATAAAAATAAGGACATGACAGAAAAATGATTGTCTCTGCCTTGGTAGTTTTAACCTCTTGTTTTACATAGCTTTTTAACTGTTTAACATTTGTATATATGCTTAACATCAATACAAATAAATAAATAAACATAAATACAAAGCAGTATTGCAGCCTCATCTCCCAAAGTAGAATATAATTTTATTTAGACTACACATTTAAGTGAGTCTAATTTCTCTTTAATCTAGCTTCAAAAATGTTTTCATTTAACAAAAAATGAAACTTCAGAAATGAATCGTCAGTTTTGTTTTCCCAGTGCCATGATAAGGCTGCTAGTGATAAAGAACAACACATTAATCCCTGCTCTTGCAAATACCTAAGGAGAGCATGGAACTCACAAGCATTGCTGCTAAGGTTGCTCCTCATGTGGGTACAGTTAGGAATGCCTAAGTCTTCACAACACTAGGAACTGAGGGCTTTGTAGGGCTTTTATAAACAAAGGGAAAAAGCTATGATGCTTCAAGTCGAAACATTAAAAATAATTAACTAGATATGTTTTTACCTAACAAGGTTACTATCCTTAAACTGAATTTGATTGTTTAAATAATACTGTCAAATTCATACAAAGGTCTCTTATGGTAACCCTTTTAAAAACTCCTGTAGGTCTAACAAGTACAAGGCTCATAAAATCAAAACTACAAGTCAAGGAGGAGTGAAGTTTGGTTAGGTATGTGAACTGAAGCAGCTCTATAAGCTTGTGTAACTTCATCTTAATGAAAGTGGTGCCTGTTGCATCTATGGCCCAGATGTTTGCATCTCAGTATTCAGTTTGAGACAACGTTCTCCTCACAGTGGACTCACCTAATTTGTTTTTGGTATAGGTGTGGATTTTAAGTGTAAAGATTATAATTCCTGCAGAGGTGAACTAAAATTTAGGATGCTAATAAACATGCAGTTCAATTGCTGAATGTTATATGTATATAGAAGTAAATATTAACAATTTAAAAAAAACAGTGTTTATGGCATTTTCTGTTGGCTGAGATGGAAGTTAGCTTGCTTTCTGGGAGAGCTTGGGTTTTCTTGATCACACTTTTCTTCCCCAGCTTCTGTTTTCACATTGGACTGTAGCACGAAGTTCAGAAACATGTTTAAAAAAAAGATGAAAAAATAGTGTCCAAACTGCTCTTTCTTCCATAAAAGGAGGGTGTGAGGTTCTGCCAATACTTCTGAATCTCTTAAGCAGTGGTTGCCTAGGAAGCACTCAGAAACGAGTAGAAAAGAATTGTGCTGGGCCAAAGTGCAAAGATCAGTGATTTTTTCTTCTGTTTTCTATAGAGAGTGAACAACAGATGAATCTTAACCTTTTTTTCCTCGCTTTCTGTGTTTGTTTATATGTGTTTTCTGGCGTTCTTTTCAGACCGTTGAAAACTGTGTGTGCATTTTGAGGAACCTCTCATACAGGCTAGCTGCAGAAACATCTCAGGGACAGCAGATGGGCACAGATGAACTTGATGGATTACTGTGCGGCGATACCAATGGAAAAGATGCCGAGAGTTCAGGATGCTGGGGGAAGAAAAAGAAGAAAAAGAAATCCCAAGATCAGGTAATGAAAGCTACTTGCAGCTGCATGCAATTAGTTGAAGTACCCACCTTTAAAACATTAAAAAGTTAATGCACTGCATTAGGATTAAATTGCATGATGCACAGTATGTGGAAGCATTACCATTGATAATTAGCTGAGAGCTTACAGCAGAGTTGTGAAATAACCTCAGAAAACATATTTGGTTAAGGTTTGCACATTACACGGTGGCACCTAGAAACTGTAGTCATGGGTACACTGGGAATGCCATAAATAAATACTGTAAACTGCTCAGTCTGTTACAGGGAGTTATTTATATTTTAAAGTGAAAAATCTTTAAATTGAGATGCAATCTGTGTATAGATGTAATCTGTGTCTCCATCTATGTCACATCTGTGTGGAGAGGTCTTAATACAAACACCAGGCCTGCGCGCACACACACACACACATGCATACATATATATATATATGAAAATATATATATAAAAATGAAAATGTGTGTGTGTATTTGCTAACTTACAGTTAGTTTCATACTCTGCCTCTGCAAGTTAAGTGAAACCTGTACAGGACTGACTCAAAGAACGTAAGTGAATGCAAAAAAAGAGCACACACAGTTAGATATATTTACCGTTGTTACCAAGGAAAGGTTAGGAGAAGCGCACTCTTCATATGTTCTTCAGATTATCCGAGGTGCTGTGGGTGGGTTGATTGGGTGTATTTATTTCCTTATGTTTGTACTTGAACTGAAAATGTGAGCAATGCTGACAAGGTGACTTTGCAGAGGAAGACCTTGCTGTAGCAGCTGCTCATACACAATGACAGTGGCTGCTGGCTTGCAAAATCCTTTTCAAAGATTTGTGATGGTCATAGAGGTTTTTACCTGTCTCTTCACAGACTTGCTCTATTCTATTGCCATTTACTTCTGCTTCAGATGGCTCAAAGGCAGTATGAATTTGAGCCTGCAGTTAAGCACACAGGGATTTAGAATAAGTTATGTGGACCGTTATTGAAATTATTCTTTAAGCTGTAAAGGCAAATTCTGTTAACGTGCAAATGTTATAGGAACATTAAAAGTTTAAGATTCAGGTATTGAAAAGTGCAGCAGTTGCAGATAGTGCTCTCACCTGTGCTTTTTGTGTTTATTTTGGTCTTTTGTTGAGTTTCATGTATTATGCTGCAAAGAAATCAAAAGTGTCAGAGCTACCTAAGAATTTTATCACATAAAGCAGTCATCTCTGTGCCTATATTACCAGGTCCCACAAATAAACTTGCAGTTATCCAAAGTGAAGGTCCAAAAATAGCATGTGTATAGGTCATACTGCCAGGTCATAGGACATACTGCAAGGAGATGTAGTCCAATTATTATTTTAATTAATTTATTTATTTTTATAAAAGGTCTTTGTGCTTCATTGACTCTGTGATGATCTTGGTACGTTTGTTCCTGCTGGAAGGCAGGTCTCCATCCGGAGACACCTAAACATTCTCTCCCTTCAGACCATGTTGCAGTCAGGAATACTTCCCTTTACTATTTTTGTGCGTGCTTAAATAAAACACTATTCTTGTGTGTTTTATGCCAAGCAAGAGCCTTTAATGACTGGATGGTTTTGCGTTTCTTGGCCACAATTTCTCACTTTGCTTTAAGCTTCTCTGTGCTTTCTGCACACTCCAGGGTAGTATTTTCACATCTTCTTTCACAGTACATTGCTTCTCTGTGTGCTCACTGATCCCCTGCGTTTTACACACGCATACTTATTCTTTTAGATTAATCTCATCCTTTTTCTGCAAGATTGGTAAATTTTTCCAGGGAACCTGTTTGTGGTTAAGCTGTTAAGGGACATTGTTCCACCCCTCACAACATAACACACGCTCTCCTTGTGATACTGCTTTTAGGGAGTTCGTGCCTTTGAGAGCATCGGTAGGGAGGCTTTTATCCTCCTAAATATCTCATAGTGTACTTCCAAAGATCCCTCTTGTGACTGACAGAGTTTTACATGTAAGCTGTCCACATGACATCTTAAAAGGATGCAATAATTTGAAGTATGTGAAATACTTAAAACACTGTGATGAAACTCTTTGACGCACGATGCATGGCCAAGATGTTGCATTCTGTGGAAGTAAACCTCAAAGAAGAAATGGAAGGCAATATAGGTTAGAAAGGTAGTCAGTTACCCAATTGCCTAATAAAAACATTAATTTAAGCTTCAGGCTGTTTTAATGAATTGTTCTTACAGGACAATGCTTATTGACCTGCATTACTGCAATAAATATTTATATACCCTGGGAGTTTCTTCACAAACAAAAACTTTATTATTGTTGTTGTTGTTGTTGTTATTGTCATCTATGGATGAAGAATTTGACCTCAGCCGGATCGTAGATCAATTTAACCTGTTGCTTTGCCTGTGTGAATTCCTTAATAATCTTCAGAATTTGATCTTGCTTGTTACATAGAAGACGAGGGGTGCTCATATTTGCAAGAGTCATGATGCCTCAGGACAGAGGAGGTGCCCTGGCTGCTGCCCGCTGTGTGCTGTGTCTCTAGAAAATGCGTGCTGATGGTAGATGGCACTTGCTTTCTTGGCAGTGCCATGCAGTTCTTGTATAATAAAACTGGATGTTTCTCTGTGGAAATCAGATTTACATAAAAATGTGATTAAATGTTTAAATTTTAATGAGCTCAGATGTGAGATTTTCCTGTTATGGTAGACTTCAGTCAGTAGGAGTTCTTCTGCTTATTCTCAAGCATGTATTTTCTTGCTCTCTTTCTGAAGGGAACAAATGTAGGGATGTGTGGGGCCTAAATTTTTAAAGAAAAGTATTCAAGTGATCTAAAAACTCCTACTAGCTGTCAAAGCTCATGGAATTGGGTAATGATGCCAAATTTATCATTTTAAACATTTAATATGGATAAAATTGTAGTTCTCTGTATTTTGGAAAATTAACCCTATGCACTATTGGGGAGCATTTTTTCCAGAACCAGAAAGCAGGAGAAACCTTCCGTAATACAAAAATTGCTCTCTCATTAGTGTTCTATGTACAGAAAGTAAAATCTAATTTGTCTGTTTTATGTTTTAAGATATAATTGTCTCATTTTTTTTTCAAGGATATCTTTTGCTTGTAGTTGCACATAAGTTTCCTAATGAAGAAACAAATCTGAGCAATGATATAAAGCTTGCCTTTCTTTTAAGGCTATTTTAAGAACAAAGTGGAAAATAATATTCATTATTGACATCAGTTGTTTATACCAGCTACAACTTTTCACAGCAAATGAACTTGCAACTTGAAATCAACTGCAAGGTGCCTCTTTCATTGATAGTTGAGTCTTAATGACACTTTCAAGTGAACTCACTTAGGATCCCTTAGGATCACAGGAAATAAATGTTCTCCTGATTTCAGAATAAACAGTGGTTTTTATAAAAGAATCCAAACTCCTTCCTCCGTTGAATTCCTTGCCAGAGCTCAGAGAAACTCCTGAGGAACACGAGTCTACTGTCCAGAAAAATCGAAATCACCTGAAGATTTGCAGTAGCACAAGTATGCAAGTCTGTTGGTGTCATCCATTCACAGCTTCATGAAAGAGAAGTGAGACTCATCTGTCTTTATTTATACCTCACATACCAAGGCCTGTATCTTCTTCCTTCACGGCTCTTCCGTGTGTTCCCTCTCTGCTGCCTGCTCCTGTTCGCAGCACCTCAAGTTAACCCCGAGTCACTCAGGCACCGCAGCCTTCAGCTGCTCTGCTTTTAAGGTCTCACCTTGCAGATGGAGCCAAATTCCTCCATCCACATCCAAAAATGTTTTTTTTTGTGACTACATGTGACTGGAATGCGGCAATTCTGCCCTCTTCCACCCTACTCCGGTAGACTCTGTGTCATGAGGCACACTTGCTTATCTTCATCACCTTTCTTTCGGCCTGAAGTTCAGCTTGGTTCAAATACAGCGTTCTTGTCTCCTTGATGTCAGCTGTATGGGCTCCCATCATGTCCTCAAGCAAGCCGTTGATGAGGTCGAGTATTTGTTGCTTAGTGTTAGACTTGTGCTCTTGAGCGATGGTTTTTTCCCACTGTTGGGATGTTTTTTGCACTAGCCAACCCAGGGATGGCTGGTGCAGACTCCCACAGCTGCATCCGCAGCTGTGTGAGGGATGAGAAACAGCCCTCCTCGTAGGGGGCAGGGTTGGTTAAAAGTCCTTGAAATTTCATAAATTTCAGAGTAATAGTAAGAGCTATTAAGTTGATGATACAAATTTTATCGCAGCTAACAAGAGAACATAATACAACATTACCAGACTATCTCAAATGCCCAGGATTGTCAGGTGTTGATGAAGGCAGTTTTGTTTCATTTTTTTTCCTAGATAGACTGTTTTTAATAATTAGTGGTGATATTTTCTCTCATAATCTGGTAGGAAATAGAAGAGGTATGTTTAAGAACTGAAAATGAAAACACTCTTGTTTGATATCAGAGTCAAAAAAAACTGTGGTCATGAGATGCCCCTTTAACAACAAACTAAACTGCCAGCAACTAGAGGGGCTGTTGTCAGTGTCAGTGCAAAAAGATGCAAATACAGAGAGGGCACTTGTCTTACTTAGTAGAAACCTTTTCTAATATTCTGTATAATCACACTGTAAACATTGGTTTGCTTTCATTAAAATTAGAAATAGGAGCTTAGATAGTCAACTTAATGTCATGGGAAGGTATCTAGGTGAGCAATCTGTTTTCTCCTCACAGAATTTTCTCCGTTAATATGAAAACTTCAGAAATTTCTCAGGAAGGCTCTCTCACTCCCCAAATTTTATTATTCTTCAAGATCTTTATATCCAGCTTATTATTCTTCTTGACTTTCTCCGTTTCCCTGCCCTGCTTTCAGGAAATGAGAGATTTATATCTCGCCCCCATAACTTAACAGTTTGTCAGCTCCAACCACAATGTATGTGGGTAATTTCAGCTGAAGCAGTGAAGGCTGGAAGGGATATTTGTTTACACTATTTTTTTTTTCCTCTTTAACATAAGCAAAGAAGAGTGATTGTCTCCAGCCCTCCTCTTTCTCAAAGGGTCCTATTGCATCCGCAGCCTCTCTCAGGTAGAGCTTATTGACCACAGCTGCTGGGCTGCACCAAGGCAGTAACTGTTGCAGTAATTCAGTGGCTCCGCTCGTTTAGTGCACAGCCCCATGTCATTAATACTGAGCGAGGTGATGAGCTACAGGCTCTGCTTCAGCCACTGCTTGGGGAAATGTGCTGTAACATTGTTGGGGGGACTTCTTTTCCCATTTTTTGAAAGGTAAGGCAAAATACATAAGGTGAAGGTCATGCATTTAGATTTGGTTTTGCAGTAGCTTGCTTTATGACCTATATGAGTCCTATATGCCCCAGCAGCAGCGGAGCTGTTCAGCCACAGGCGCTGGTCTCAGCAAAGAGGAAGATGCCAGGCAACATCAAGCCCTTTGGTTTGGAAGTTTGCACATGCAGCAGCACAGGAGAGCTAAAACATAGGAGACAGGACGTGCAGCAGTGCTTCAAATGCACCAGCACAGCATGTGCACATTTAAAGTCAGCTGTATTTTATGTTTATAAATCAGCTTTATTTATATCAGCTGATTTTGGCAGTACTTGACATTGTACAAGTGTAAATTCTTGGGTTAAAAAAGTAACTGTACTCCCACATGTGCATAAAAAAAAAAAGGTACTGGGTAGATCTGATACAACTTATGCATTATAGATACTTTATCCTTGCAATAATACAATTCATATCCCACACAAACTCTCATCAACTGCATAATGTCTCCACTGCATAAAGATGAGATGGATGAAGACCTCAATTTGTGTCTTTGGACACATCAATTAGCGGCCTCCTGAAGCTGCTAAGCTCAAATGCAGTGCAGGCCCAAATCAGCCCTCTACGGGATGCTTCTGATTTGTTTTCTGTAGAGATGCAACAGTGCAAGTCACTGAATTCCAAGAGTTAAAATAAGAAGCAGTCTTTAATGTGTTTTCTGTGAGCTTGTGAGAAGGCTTTTCTGGGAAGAGTGATGAATTATAGGCAGATAAAGGGAGAACTGAGTCACATACGGTGAAATCAAACTATTAGTTTAAAAGCAGAAAGGTATGAAAAAAAAATTTTTTCAAAGGCACAGCTTTATCCTGGTGTCATTTAAAGGGATTTTATTTCTTCAGAAGGTGATTTTCCTGTTTCTCAACCACTGCAGGGGACTGCTGTTCCATTTTGTTAAACCCCGGTAGCTTCTGTCCAATGCAGTGAGTTTTATATTTGAGCAGCATTTTGGTTTTTAGCAACTGCTCCCATGTATTAAATGTCTCTTTAGCTTTAAATATTGGTGTTCTACTTTAGTGAAAACAGCGTTCTAGGGTCTCAGTGGTTGTAAACAGACATAACCCTGCTAAAATGAATTAAGCTGTATTAATTAATATTAGATAAGATTTGATTGGCCATCCTTATGTTAAATAATACATAGATTTTTAAAGTTAGCTTAAACAACACTGTAATTGGTAATTCCAATCTCTTTTAGATCTCTTTTAGTGAGAATTTACTTGTTGTGTTGTTTGAATCATAACTGATTAAACCGATTAAATTGGATAGGAAAACTAGCTGTTGCAGATCTAAACATGGAATTAATTCAGTCTGTGCTATCTCTGGATGTGTAGCAGGTATATGATGCTATGATACATATATTTTTATCTACAAAATCATAGCAAGTTCTAACCCAATGCATTGAAAGGTTTACTTTGTATGATATCATGTAATCTGCACATGTCAAAGATGTTAGAGAAAATTGAATTCAAAGGTCAAGGATTATTTTTAACAGTGGTATTAGGACTGAATTTTCTAAATCATTTTATCTGTACAAAGCAAAGCAAAACGTGTGTTTATTATATATAGAGATGACTCATATTTAATATACTATTAATATTGCACTCCACATATTACTGTTGTTTAAAAAGTAAAAAAGTCTTTGAAGTTCCTTCCTTTAAGAAATTTCTTGCTCAGGTGCCCTCTGCATCCCAGCAGAAAGGTGAATCACTTTCTACAGGAATAAAATTTCTGTTTCTAGAGGGAATATGTTGGTTGTGCATATCCTGCTTGTTGTCTGTGTTTTAATATTGCGGTAATTTAATATTGAGGTAATACTACTATGGTAATTTTGGTGGCAAAATTCCCTATTTGAGGAGCCAAGAATCCATTTTGTGAGAAGTGGTTCTACCAAATAAATTTCAATCTAAAACCTTAAGGTCTGCTGACTTTGTGGCTGAATGCGAGCAGAAGAAGACACCAGGAAAGGGCAGAAGAAGTTGTAGAGTCAAAGAAAGCAGCTTGGTCACCCCTGGGCTCCTCAGGCGATGGCACGTTCATGTCCTTGCACAACTTGCTTTTGCACAATGGTGTTGCTTACTGTTTTTTCCCTCTCTTCATGGAAAGAGAGAGAACACAGAGGTCTGACCAGGCAAAAATGGAAAATCTTTCCCTCTGCAGGTTGTAAATTTACTATTATGACATGCTGATTTGTGTTCCTCTTCTGTAGGCTTCTCTTTACAACCAAAAAACATAAATGCAGTGAAAAGAGTTTTTATGTCAGCTGGCTAAAACACTCTGTTTTTTGCCAATATTGTGGCTCATCCATAAAGATTGTTGGCTTGGAAATGTGGTTGGAAATGAAGGATCTCATAATGTACTTCAGAGTGGTTGCTTGCCACGTGTACGCTGATGCCTCTCTACACACAGGAATATACATGATGGTTTCATGTGAAACACCTCTCGTGCCTTTCCCTGTTGCTGACACTGTGACGTGTCCTTTCTAACAGTGGGACGGAGTCGGACCTCTCCCGGACTGTGCAGAACCACCCAAAGGAATCCAGATGCTGTGGCACCCTTCAATAGTCAAACCCTACCTCACACTTCTCTCGGAGTGCTCAAATCCCGACACGCTGGAGGGGGCAGCCGGGGCACTGCAGAACTTGGCTGCTGGGAGCTGGAAGGTAGGAACTGATAGGGGAGTGTGTGTGCATGTGTGTATGTATATATGTGTCTGTATATATATATATATATGTGTGTGTGTGTGTGTGTGTATATATATATATGTATGTAGCTTTGAGTTCAGAATCCCCTACAGATGACAGCAGATTAATGAGATGAACATATGCGAGTGCTCCTCATAGTGGAATAACTACATTTTCAGAGGACTGTCTGCAGTCTTGAGTTTTAGATTGTGTTTAAAGTCCCTTGAGCTGGTAGTGACGATCATATCGTGGGAAAGCCTGGCATACAGGAGTGAAAACCGCCTTGGTCTAATGACGTGTGAAGAATTGCTGCTGAAACAGATACCCAAATGAGGAGAAGGAACCTCTTTCTGCTGCCGTGACAAAACCGGGAAAAAAGAGCCCAAAATATCACCAGTGAAACCCTGTGAGTTTGTTAGTGCAGAAACTGGTTGACCTTCTGTTGCTTATGAGAAGCCAAGTGAGAGCATAGCAAGGTGAAGTGCCACCAACACGAATAATCCCACCATGTACAAACGTACAAAATCCCCCCAAAAATATTGAAATACTTTGTGGTTAAAGATGTAAAATAAGTGAGGAAATGCCCAATCTAGGCATGTAATGTAATTCTGTCTTTTCAATTATAATCAAAAAGATCCAGTTTTCCATTCTCAATTATTTACAGTGGATTCCAAAAAAAAAAAAAAAAAATTATTTTATCAAGTTCCCTTCCCTAGTTTTTGAATTTTTTGCTAAGTTCAGAGCAATGAATAAAATTTTTCGTAACATTTAAGCCTGATTTACTTTTCTAGGACAATTTCTGTATCCCTTTCCTGATGGATTGGAATTGTTTGATTGGGTAAAAATGCTATCTGACCATATTGCATACATATAATGCATTGTTTGAAAGTTAATTTTCAGTGGGGATTTTTCACATTTACTGTAAAAAAATGCATATATTGGAGCAAACAGTTTTTAAAGCTGGGTCTCAGTATCCAGTTTGCTTTAAATGATCGAACATTCATATTAAATATGTGAGCACTGATTTACTTAGGCCTTCATTTTGAAATGTTATCCCTGAGGCTAATAAACAATTTGTCTTTCCACACGCTTTTATTGGAAGGTTAGTTGGCACATTCAGTAGATCTTCAGAGGCATGTGGCTTTTTTGAGCATAACGTCCCACCAAGTTTATAAAATGCCTTTGACCTTGCATTCAGTGACATAATGAAAGGAGTAACAAAGTCTCTGCCTAATGATTTTGTCTTGCAAAACGGTTTGTACGTCCTATGCCTGAAGATGATTGCAGTTTTATTATCCCCACATTAAAGACCACACCATATTATGTAATCTTGGCACGGAGGCGTGGTGCATGTGTTTTATTCATCTGGGAACAGATGTAGCACCAGTCCAAATGAGAAAATAATGCATGGCACATTTATGAGCAGTAATAGGAATGCTGAAATCCAAATACCGCCCTTTTCCCCATTTTTAATAAATCTGTAGCTGTCATTCTTTAGTTGCTAGACGCATACTGTGAACAGGAGACGAGGGAAAGCTCTGTAGAGCTCTTTTGTAAAAGAGGTGTTAGAAAAACCTGGCTTGAGCTCTATATGCGCTGGTATCAGGGGGAAGGCTTGGCTGTTCTCTTGCTCTGTTTTTCTAAGGACTCACCAATTCCATTACAACTGATGTGCAGGCACAGAATGAATATACTTAATTTCACATGTCGTACTAGCCATTTCTGTGAGGGGAGTAATCCTCTTTGGGGATTACATAAGCATTGATGTTTCCACCTTTTGACCTCTCTTTTCTACCTCTGCAGTCTCTACACATAAAACGACTGAAATAAAAGATAAAAAGCTCTTAAAGGAAGACATTATTCCTAGGGGAGATTTTTATTATGTGAATTTCTGCAAGGAATTGTAATTGTATAAAGATGAGGAAATGATTTTTTGCTTGAAATCTTCCAAAAAGAACTTTGAACATACAGTTTGAACTGTATGATAAAGTGAAAGGGAGAAAAAGAAGAAACTATATAAAAATAACTGATGTTGCTATTACTCTCAGTGCTCATAGCAACTGTAGTTGGTTCTTCCCTTTTTATAAATACCCTTATTTTAATGACAGCTGAATCCCAGACAGTGTGAGGTATTGAGTGCACTGTGCATGCTCCCACACTTCAGAAGATTTGGTCTCTTCTTGAAAAAATTACAGTGCAGTTCTTGTACTTAACGCTCTTCCAACTGGTTTGTCCTTTTGGTTCCTCTAGATATAAAGCTGTCTAAGCTTCTTCAGTGACAAAGAAGTAACACTTTTAAAGCGGGCAGTTCTTAACCAATGCCATTATGAAGGGGAAGTGGGAAGATAAAAGGAAGCCTAGAATAATTTAAAAAAAAAAAATCTAAAGGATTTAGATAAATGTCTGCCATTAGAATTAACCATTGATATATGTCTAAATCCCCTCGACTAGTTTTGAAAATTTCCAATACAAAAGGAAAGCAGCAGGATATATGTAGCTTTAAGGATTAAAAGCTGAGAGGGGCTGAATGTGGGACAAATGTTTTTATTCTAGAGAGTACGGTGATACATACATACAATGTCCCCATATATACATGTGGAAAGGAATAAATCTTAGCTTGTAGGACATTGTTAGCTCTGTTACACTTGCAGCAATTCCTTGTAAAGCCAAGCACTGCAGAAGTAATAGCAATTAATAAAAAAGGTGGTACATATAGGTATATTTGCACAACTTTTTCTGTGTCAGGGTGGAACATTGTTTGGGCCTGAATCTTGGGCCTCAACATATTACCTTTATGTTGACTAAGTTAGCTTCTCATACAATAGTTAATAGAATATGTTGTCTTCATTTAATTACTGTTAGAATCAAGATAAACCTTAATGACTCAAAAAGGAGCATGTTTCTTAAAAAGTGACATGCATCTGCTCACAGATCTCTCCTGCTTTGCTTTACGTATTATCCAATGCATCTTTTTATGTTATGAATGGCCTTCCTGGAATAACACATATGGACATGTCCAAATGTGTGTGCTTATAATGACAAGAGTCATCCTATGAAAAGAAAGCTCCATAGATGTTTTTGTATATGGTCTGGAATCTGTAATTTTCCCAGGCCAGTGGGAAGAAAGGAAAGGTGAGTTCTTCTTAATTTTAACCTTGATCCATAGGCTAGGCAACAAGTTAAACTACTGAGTGTATATAAAGTTACGCGCAAATACATGTAGATTCCTATATGTAAGAATATCAAGACTCCAAGTTTATGTCCTTAGAACAAAATATTGCTCTCAGGAAGAAAGGAGATCCTACTGGGAGTCTGTTTATCTTTTATCTGACAGCTAAAAGGTTTACACTGTTGACATTTTATCTGCTGAAGACATTTCGGCAATGCTTATTGCTGTGATCTCATCATGTGATCTCATCACTTACAGGAATTTTTTTTTCCTCCTACCCACGATTAAAAAACAGTGCTGTCACCACAGGTAGCATTTCCTTAGTTTTGACAAACCCTTAAAAAATTCATTCATATGACCCTGAGATATACATATAAGCCCAGGCACCAAGAGCTAGTCTGTCTCTAATATAGTGCCCAAATTGCAAGATGTACTAAGGCTCTCTTGAGCTATTGTGGGGCCCTGCTGTGATTCTGCTGTTGTGTCTCAGTTGCTGTTCAGTCTTTCCAGGCTTTTCTTGGCTGCTTAGATGAGCAGCCTCCGTTTTTCTGAGAATCCATTTGGTCCTTCCTCTCCGTAACACTGGAACAGGACATCATACGTGGTGCCGTAGAGCAGGAGCGCTGTGGTGCTCAGGGCCTCAGGAGACACTTCTCCTCCTTTCTTTTCACTTCCACCTCTCCCTTGCCTTACCAGGTACAGTGACACTGTCCTGCTGGTGCCTGTGTGTCCTTGCCTGGGAACCGCAACAGGTACCACAGACAGGCAGAGGGCTTTCCTGGGTCAGCGGCCTGATCTCGTGAGGTGGTGTGGTGAGAAACCACTCTCTGAGCCTTAGGCACTCAGCTGCATCTGTCTTCCCAATTCCATCCTAGAGAAAGTTGAGTCTCATAGCAAAAGAGCAAAAAATTAAGCAAATTGTTTATATAAAGAACCTGGAAACTTAACAGGGACTGATTCAGTCACAAGGTCAATGCAGCGACTTCAAAGAGCAGCAAGAAAAGAGTTTCCAGCTCCTTGCCATCCAAATACTTGCAGATAATGAAAAATTGTTGTCTGAAGTAGCAGCCATGTAGTTTAGTATCTTCTCTTATCAGGCCAGAACATATTGTGGGTTCTTTGCCAAACTTCACTAATTAGTTATTTGCATACTCACCCTTTAGAGTTTCATGAGGCTATTCTGGGAGGAATTATTTCAATTCCAGAGAAAAGGCTTTCATTCATTTTCTCCAAAATACTAGCACTATGAATTCTTATATTATAGAGCAGAGATCACCACTTAGAATAGCTCGGTCACTTAGCAAAGGCAAGCTTGCTAAATAAGCAATGTGTTAATCTGCCAGGAAATTTTAGCTGGGTGAGATTCCCCTCTCCTAAATCCCCATGGATGAGACAGCGTCAGTCAATACAGAGGAACATACTGATGCATCTCCCATTAGCTCCATTGCAATTTTTTTTTTACTGTATATCTTCACCCACCAATTTTCTCCTTTCTCCTTAAACTTGGCTAAGGTCATGGAACAAGAGAGAAGATGTTCCTCCTGGACAGGCGAATCCCAGTCCCAGACTGTTTTCCGTACTCCCAGCACAGGGATGTCGAGCAGTTCATGGTGGCGTCCTGGGTGGAATCATTTTGGAGAAGGGAACGCTGCAGTCAGGGAGCTGGGAGTCCCTGTTGAAGCTCCCTTTCTTCACACATTTTGAAAAGGGGAATTCCCAGAGCCTTGTACACTCATGTGGTGGGACTCCATAAGAGACTAACTCATATGGAGTTAGCTGGGCGGAAAAGTGCATCTCTGATTTTCTAATTGGAATAAAAAAATATTGCTTTTACCTGTCACAGCCTTTCTAAACCTCTCTTGTGAAACTATGAGTCTCTCTGATCTTCCTGGTTCTTTTTTTTTTTTTTTTTTNTTTTTTTTTTTTTTTTTTGTCATGCTTGCTGCCTTTATTTGGCTTGGTTTTTGTGTCTTGACTGTTGCCCTTATCACCTGATACATCTACAGAGTCTTGGAGTCAGAATGTAGGACTGTGACTTTACAATGCAAATTCCAGTCAAAATTCAAGTGCATTTGATGTCCAGATAATCTGGAGATACTTAGATAATGCTGATATCAGTGGCAGGAGATGTGAAATTAAAAATATCAGGTTCAATGGAAAATACCTGTTTAATTGTTGCCTTTTTTTCCCCACAATATTAGTTTGGGCATCTGTGAAGGTGCTTGACAGAAGACTAAAGACTAGAATAGTTAATTGCTTATAGATATATATATATATTCTTTTTTCTAAAAAAAAGAATAGTTTTATCTAGATGAAGTACTTTTAAGTAGACTTGCAGCCTAATGTAACCTGAATCCCTGGAGGCATTCAGCTCCGAAAATGGTCCTTTATAATAGTAACTGTGACAAACCAAGAAATCATTTTCTGGATTCCTGTATTTCTCTTTTTAATTATCATGACAAAAATAAAAAAGAAGCCACTAATGAAAGTGGACATTGACATGCATTAGATATCTTCAAAGTGATATATAGTAGTTATGCCCCACAAATTCAATTACCTCTTAAGAGTATTCGGTCACAGATTATGGCTCCTGTGCCTGTCTCTGATAATTTAGCTGCAATCTCATGCAATAATTTTTTTTTTTTTTTGGCTTCTTGTTCCCTCTGAAGTGTAAACTTTTCCCACAAGAGTCCTTTTTCTTTACAAACTGAGCAATTATTTGATCATTGACACTGCCGCTGATTTATGGAGTAACAGGATGATTAAGTATATTGGCAGAATGTCTCATTTGCAGAGAGGCAGCAAACCTTTTGTCTCTTTTCTTTTTTTATGATATTTCACGTCTGCCTTTTATACCTCACTGAGCTCATCCTCGCAATTGAACTGCAATGTGGAAATGCAGGAGTGTTGCACGATGCCTTTAGGCAACCAAAAAATCATCAGCATACGCAAAAGTGAATCAATTTTCCATTCTCCGAGAGAACAAAATAAGGGTTTTGCAGCAGCATCCTAATGGGAGCGCTCCTGAAATGCAGGCGTTGGGTGCAGCTCCTTGCAGAGGCTGGTCCTAGGCGGCACTTCAGGCAAGGAGACACAGTCGCTTCTTGACGCTTCCCAAACAGGAAGTTCTCCAGAGGATTTGGGAACAATTCTTTGACATTTCTGTATTTTAACCTAAGGTGAATGTCTTGGAAAAATGGCTGTAGCCCTAGCAAATCACAGAGACAAGCCTGTGAGCTTTTCCAAAGTATTGCTGTTCCCAAAAAGAGAGCTTATGTGAGGCAGAGGAAAAGGAATGTGCAAGAAACGTAGGAAGGAACATAGAAAAGGAGTATAGAAAAGGAATGTAGACGAGAAGTTTCCTACATACTTCTCTGGCTTTTTCCCATTGTTTTGTATACATATGTGCATATGTGCATCTATAAAACATTGTATCTGAATTTTTCCTTTATGAAAATTTTGGAACTGTGTTGTAGACTCTTGTGACCAAATTAATGGCTGCACTACCAGTATTGAAGACTTGCATGTCATTTATCCAGACAAGAGGTGAACAGTTTTTCTTGTTTCATTTTCAGTTATTCCATTGTTTTTCCTAGCTTGTCTTTTGCTTTCCATACGGTTAAAAAAACCTTTAACATTTTATTTCCCACATCTGCTTGTTTCTTTTAGATTCTTTAGTTTCTTCTGGAATAGGTGGGAAAAATGGTTATGACTAAGAAGTTTGTTGTAGTCTTTTTGTAAAGAACATTTACAAAAGGGTCCTTGTAATTTCCCTTCATACTTAACTAAAAAAAAATCCAAGGAGAAAAGTTTTCAGGGATTTTTGTAATATTGCGAATAATCAAGAACATTTTCCTAGGTCATCTCTGGCACTGAACAGACACAAATGTTTTTTTTTTACTGTTGTTACTAGTTTTTAAACAGCCCCAGTGATTCCCCAGGCAATCCACATTGAAAGCAGTGAACTCGGGGTGTTCTCTTACATTGAATAGCAGCATCCCACGATGAACAGACCTGGAGCCTGGACGTTGGCCGTGACCAGACCGACCTGCTGTGAGCATCGTCCCCGTTAAGCTGCCCGCTCAGCTCCTGGCCGTGGGGCCCCGTGGAGGCCTCCCCTGGCTGAGGCTCAGGGGACACCGAGGTGCAAGTTCCCGAGTGCCAAGAGCCCCAGCTCTGCAGGCACCGAGTGGCCGAGGACGGTGACTGACCAGCCACTCGTCCCCTTCCAGGACTGACCAGCTGAGCAGTAAAGGCATGGGTATTAAGAAAGAAGCCTACAAACATTAATTTGGGGGTTTTGTCACATCCCTATATTTAATAACCCAGTAAGAAAGAAATTATTTTTAAGTAGCTACTTTCAGTTAGTCACCGGTCATTAAGATTCGTTTTAGTTGTCTAATGATGCTTCCTCCAGGATGAAACCGTACACTGGTTGTAGAGCAAAGACTAAAGGAGAGAAGAGCCCAGAATAAGATCAATCAAGAATCCTCCTGTGACTTGTTTGTTTTCCCTCACCTTAGAGCTATCCATTGGTTCGCTGCAGAAATCACAGGCACATTTACATTTTAGACACATTATATTATTGTGCTCGATGATGCTGAGAACCTCACATCCCATTAACCTGAAGAGAAAAGTTATTGTGACCATTATGGCTTTTGTCTTAGCACAGTCTTCGTGCCCCATCCAGCTGGCTGATTTTTGTTATGTGCTGTTACTATAGAGAATAATCATAAAATATTCTTTACGTGCCATTACGTGCTGGTTTCTCTTGCCTTTTTCTGATTTTTCCCTGAATGACGTTACCTAAAATAAGCTTGAACTCCAAATATTGCAACACTGCAGACCTTGCCTGCCTCCCCGTATACCAGTGTTGCTGTAAAATGGTTTTTGGCTTTTGCAGCATGGGCACCTGTCTGTAGTATAGACTTCGAAGCGAGTAGATCAACTGTGGTTGCTTGGAGTTGGAGGTTAAAGATACACTTCACTTGGCAGTGAAGGGTATTTTCCATTTTCTAATGCTGTATTTTATGGAATTTGGAAGATTTGGGCAATTAGCACTAGGAGGATGAATGTGAGTGATATGCACTTCTCATACGAGAAAGCAAAGTTTAATGCAATGTGTATTATAGTATATAATATGCTGCAATATATTATATTCTGTTCAATTACATTGTGTTTATTATATTGTATTAAATAACTAAATAGTAACTAATTAAGTTTAACCAATAGTCTGTCATGTAATATAAACAGGAAGAGCTAAGACTCAAGAAATATTTCCAGGGAATGCAGATGATTTGCATAATCCACCCAATGTTTTCTTCCTAGAGTTCTTCTCAGATAGCTGCCTATCTGCATACAAGAGGTTTGTGTTTACATGAGGAGTATGTCTCAAATACAATAATTATTCTTTTAAGTTGATGCACACACCCAGAGCTAAATGAATTATTACACGTATTATTACAGTAATACAAGTGTTGTATACACACTTTGTATATGTTATATACAAAGAATACAAGTGTTCTGCAGACTTGCTCTGTATAATTTTAAGTGAGTGTGCTAGAATTAAGGTCAGTTCATTGTTTAATGCTTTTGCCACCACAAAAAAAATATATGTATATCTATATATCTGTGGATTTCTGTATCAGGTGGTTGCCCACTATGAGTGACACGATTATTCCCTGTCTCTGGAGTTTCCGTCCACGTGCTTTGGTCACCCTTCCTGTCCGGCCTAGCCCCGTGGGTGCTCACGCTCTGCCCTGTCTCCGCAGTGGTCCGTGTACATCCGTGCTGCCGTGCGCAAGGAGAAGGGCCTGCCCATCCTGGTGGAGCTGCTCCGAATAGACAATGACCGCGTGGTGTGTGCAGTCGCTACAGCTTTACGGAACATGGCCTTAGATGTCAGGAATAAAGAGTTAATAGGTAGGTACTTTCCAAACGGTTTGTTATGTGCCCTGTTCTCAGTTTTCGGCAGGATGAGCGCGATGGAAGCTGTTATTCCTCGTTCTAGCAGAATTCCTTTAAAGCTTTTTCAATACGCCCTGTTTGTATTTTATGTGATAGCTCAGTGCTGTATTGCAAATTGTGTTTAAGATGAAGTAAATAGCGTGCCACATTTTATGATTTGGCGTGCTGTAATATCCCAAAGAAAGGCAGTGGCTTTTGTTCTGCTTCAGCTCTTAAAATATGGCCCAAGTTAATAGCTTTTAAATTAAGGCTGATTTTTTTTCCTGGCCCATATTCCATTCATGTGCTGATAACAGGGTAGCACTTGTATCTTCCAGATCAAGGATCCAAGCTGGGCGGCCACTCCCGATCCCCATATAAGACTGGAGAATATGAAGTGTCAAAACATAAAGACATAAAGATGGTGCCAGGAATTTACTGGCAGCTTAGCAGCTCCAGCAAAAGAGCTAGGACACACTTAATTCACAAATGCATCTGTATTTTGGAAGAAAGCTGCAACTCTCATGAGTCATTGTGGTCTCTAAATTCTGATGGAAGAGTAAAGAAATTTATCAGGCTTTCTGGCTAGGGATTTTTATTCTTAGCTGAAATTCATTCAAACACTGCTGGATTCTTAGTTTCATATTCTGTCTTTGAAAAATAGTCACTGCCTTTGTTTTGGATTATTTCAACAGGCTTGACCAAATAATTTCTTGCTTCCTCTGTATTTTAAGAGTTTATTTTTCTTCATTTATGCAGTTGCTATTTTGTTATTATTGCAGCATACTTATGCTCCTCTGCTTTTAATCACAGAATCCTGCAATCCTAGGGCTCTATTATTGATTTCTTAAGGCTAGTGTTTTGTTACAATAATGTCATGCAAGTCCTTAAAATAAAGCCACCATTTTCCTCACATATTGTATAGAACAGAGGAAATTTGCTGCCAAAAGGCTGTAAAGCAAACAGAGTCAGAGGTTGGCTCACATCATTTATGTGAGCCTGATGGGGGTGTTGAGGAAGTGAGCGCAGGTTTGCTGCCCTAGCTACAGGACCAGCTTTTGCTTGTGTTATAATTGATAGGATTGTGGAGAAGTTTGATTTGTTCACCCTATTGTGTTAAGCTCTCGGGCAGCAGGATGTGTGTCCTTAGTGTTGAGTTGTTTTCTAGCGTTTTTGAAGCAGCCGTAGCTGTTGAAGAAAGTATATCGGACCATTTGATCATGGCAACAACAGACCGTTCCTTTTTGTTTGTTTTTTTTTCTTGTGATCCTACCTCTACTTTCAGCCTTCAGTATGTCTAAGTCTCTAATATTTAATATCTGATACCTTCATAGTCTCGAATATTTAATATCTGATACCTTCATATATGGGACTGCCTCTGAGAGGTTCAGCAACTTTAGGAGCTTTAGTGTAGGGCATGCATTTTAAGTTGTATTCTCCCTATTTATAGGCATTACAAAAAGCCTTATGTGAAGTTTCCAGATATTAACTGTGGTTTGCAATGCCATGGACTGGGTCATTGATTTTGTTGCCTTCTCTGTGCTCCAGTATTTCTTAATTGAAACTTTTTCCTTCCCAAATATGCACATTTCATTTAAGACCGTAAAGCTGCACATATGAAGGAGATAAGTTGTTTAAAAAGATATGCCATATACAATACTTTGATAAATTTTGGATAATAAGACATAGCTTGTGTAAGCCCCAAATATTACTGTTTTATGGAATTTTCAGAGAACATGCAGTATGAAAAATATGGATTTTTGAAAGGTAGAAAAAAGTCTGTTTGAAAATAATTATCTAGTTAACCTTTTTTTTAATGTAGCCTATCTATAATGGCAGTGCAATGTTGCTCAGATTGAAGATATTCTAAGGTTATTCTGTACCTTATACTTTTTAACTGGAATACAAACTTGTTGCAGGTTAAAAAAGATATAACTTTGACCATAAGCTAGGAAAGGAAGCTATGGCTCCAATTCCTGAACAATCTTCACTGTTTCATTTTTTGGCTTTCTTCGCTGAGAGCTGGAAAGAAACAGTAAGAGCGGTCACTTTCTCTGTTCTTGCGTTCCTTTTTGATGTGCAGGCAATGTCATAGATCCCATTTTCAGAAGTGCTGAACACCTGCAGTTGGCAGGGATTTCAGCTCCTGTTTTCGGTTGTCTGTTTTTATGAACATTGAAGCTCCACCTGTTTTAAGGTATCTTAACTGTTTTTCTGGAAAGGAAAACAGAGAGGTGGTTGTTAGACATTTAAGCGTCCCTTTGCCTAAGCAGAACCAGCATCCTCCTTCTCCTCATTTCAGTTTCTGTTGGTGAATCATGTTCTTGGAGTGACTCACAACCCTGTCTCACAATCTAGCAGTTTTCTTTTTTTAGATTTTTTTTAAAGGTGAAAAGTCTATCTGTGTATGCTGTAAAGATTATATATGTAGAACTGCATTTTTCTTGACATAAATCTGTAAAGCTTCCATTACATTGGTGCTCTGGCTCTGTTTCCAGCTGCAGCTTTCTGCTGAAGTATGCCACAGAATGAGAATTTCTTTCTCATCTTGCTGGTGACAGGCAGCCCATAAATCACAGTTGAGGCCTCTGACAAATCTATCAGCTTGTGAAGGTTTGGACTGCCCTGTACCAAACTACAAAATATACAAATAAAAAGACCTTGTTTTTAAAATGAGCAAAATTTTCTTTCTTGACTTGGTCTAGTTGACTGAAGTATTTTGTTTTCCACTGGCCAATTAAGCATCTTGTTATATTGCTGAAGTTTGGTGCCAGACTTCTTCTCTGATAATTTATCTGAGCCATCCCTATGCAGCATCTTCCTCTTTTATAGTGAGGCCTTCTTCCTGGTGCCGTTTTACTGTGTTCTCCATATGCTTAATATAACCAGAGAATTGTTTTTCTTCTTTTTCTTCTCCAGTCCTTCTGAACCTAGGTGGAGGCTGAGATATGGGGCCTATTCATCTTTCCTCTTTCTGAAACTGAATCCTGCTTAGACTAACATATGGTAAAATTGGCCTATTAGGACTGACACTAGGTAATCGGGTACCTGGTTAACATTAACATTTTCCAGTATGTTAAGCAAACCTCCTATAGTTCCTAAATCAGTTGATTTGGGCACTTCATCTTCCATCTAACCTAATAGTCATTCAGGAGGCCGTCTCAATCAGAGTAAGAGAGGCAGCATTAAACCTAGGTGCTTGATTAGCTTCTTGGGCTCTCAAAACCCTTTCTCATCTCCCATGAGCTTTGTGTCTGTGCTGCAGGACTTCCCTGCTCAAATCCTTTTGTACCCCATTTCAGCTCTAATGTCCCTAGAAATGTACCCCTTCTTTTACGCTCCCCAGCAGGTCTGACACAGGTCTTGGCGGCTGCGTGCCTGTGCTGACTTAATCCTCCCTTGATGAGATGATTACTGAAGACCTCTGCTAAAGCTGCATCTCTGCTCTGTTCTTCTGTGGAGCTCCCCCCAGCTACAGCAGAGGCCTCGGAGTCAGCTGAAGAACAGACTTTACTGGTTTCAGTCATTCACCTAGATAAAAAGACTAACTTTTGCCCTACAGCTCCTCCAAAGACTTCACAAGCTCTGTGCTGTTTTGTCATCCTCTTCTTGCTTCCTTCCTCCATTCCTTCCAAAAACAGAAAAGAAAAAGGGGAAAAGTAAAGCCCCAAATTTCTGTGTCACTCAACATTCCAGTTGCCTTAATTTTAGGATATGGCAATATCCTCTCTCTCGTAGCAATCTCTCTTGTAAGTATTTTCTTTGCCTCAGGATCACATAGAGGCCACTCATACTACTCTACTCTCTCTCTACTCATAGAGTAGAGAACTGCTACTCTTGGCAGTGCAGGTTGTTCCAAGGAGGTTGACATCTTAAGTTGCAGCTGTCCCACCTATTTTCCCTGAAGAGTGACGTGGCAACATGCTGTCATTCTCTAAAGCCAGGCTTTACTGGAACTTGAATCTGCCGGGTGAGACACAAATGTAACAGCAGGATGAATTCTTTCCAAAGAATTCTTTCCCATGGCTTTCTGATGTGAACACCTTCCACACATTCCTCTTGGGTTCCCAGGAAAATTTCTCTATATCATCTGAGCTTTCACTGTGCATCTCTATCCAGACCCTCTTCCTCACTGGTCTCCCACTTAAACAAGCTCTCTTTTGCATATGTCTTTCATATATCTTTTTCCCTGCTCTGCCTACAAGAAGGTTTTCCAAGATGAGATGTTCCATCCAACCTTCGGCAATGAGCCATCATCTTCTTTCCATTATCTGACACACAGTCAGCAGTTCTCTCTGCTGCCAAGCCACATTCTTCTTGACAAAAGATAGTGTGAGAAATACAGTTAATTAAAAGACAAGTGGGTTGTTATTCTGTCCCACAGAAGCAAGTACAGATGTTCTCCCTCTGTGAAATAAATGTTTAAGGGAGAATTTCTGTCTCAAAAAATAAACTCTCTTTCCATTATTCTTTTTATGCCTGGCATTTACCTTTGATTTCAAATTACAGTTCCTGTGACATTTTAACAAGCTGGGGATGGCTTTGCTGTTTTTTCAAACTATCACAGATCAAGAATTTGTCATTGCTTGTATACAACAGAGTATGTACCCTGCAGGACTTGCACTCCTGAAGCACAATTTACAACTTGTATTTCTATTGCATTTCGTACTGCTCAGTAAAAGCCCACTGGTGCATGGGCTTCAGGGTGAACATGGAGTCGGAATTCAAATTTATAAACTTTCAATGCACTATTTTCTATTTCTGTCATTGCCCTTATCCTCGTAATGCTAATTTGGGTCAGTACTGATTGAGAGCAGTGTTACACTAGTAATTCAAGAGCACCATTCTGGCCTCTGGGACATTTTTGTGGTTTAATGAAATACTTCTTGAGAAGTTGGAAGTCTTTTGGTCACTCATCCTTGAGAAAAAAAAATAGCTCCATTTGAAGGTTCTTGCTAACTTACAGTCTGATGTAG